ATTATTCTCTGTTGTTCTTCTGTTCTGGACAGAATGAGACAAAGGCACGTATGGGATAAAGGAAATGAAGAAACAATTAGAGAAATGAAGACATTAAAGGAATAATTTCCGTTGAATTTCAACGGGCTTGTTTTTACTAAAATTCAATTCAATTTGCCAACAGCAAGGAGCCTATGACAGGCAAACACTAATACAAAAATACAAAAAAAAAATACAAATTAAATCACACCTAGAATAAAACTTACCGTCTGTCATTTTCTTTCAGTGTTCCGACAAGGAGACCTCGGTTCGAGTTGGTACGCCGTCTTGAGTGGACAACTGGATGTTCGATTGGAGCAAACCGGCAAGGATTCAAAAGATAAGGTGAGGTCTAGTCTTCAGTCCATCTTCCTTGACCTACACATTACGCTTTAATTTCACTGCTATTTGCTTTTCTGCTGTTCGGATTATTTGCTTGGTGGTTCTGTTGCAAAATAATGTCTGCTGGAAATCATATCTGGACAGGCATAATTAAGAGTCGCTCGTAGAAGAATGAAGTGGTAAATAGCATTTTCTGAAAGATTAAAATAACACAAATGGGACGCACAGGTTTAGGTTGACAGCAAGTAGAGACCACGAAGCACTTACATTTCTTCCCACCTCTCCACCCAAGCGCGTACAAGGCGTATAGCAGGACAACTGTACTTTTACCTTTTTACTTTAACAGAGGCAGTATTTTGTGAGATGTGAGGTTCCTATTGTGGTGAAGACGTCAGTGTTCTGGGTTGTGACGTCATCTGATGATGGAGACAGTGTGTTTCTCCGAAACGTCGGTATGTACTTACGAGTCCATACGCCGTTACGACACAGAAGACCAACATCGACAGTACAGAGGCAGTGCGGATTTGGTTCTTTCAGTTTTCGCATATAGTAGACACATGCGATGTCAGTATGACGATCCCCTGAAGGTCGTAGCCGACGCAAATCCCATAACATCATGTACGTAATGTATACACGGGCCTAATGGAGCAATACTGCTAAGCTGATATTCGGATTATCGACACGTGTCTGTTTTCGCACGCTAATGGCTTTAAAACAGAGGATACATTGTAGATTAGGTTCTGTGCAGTAGCGAACTGGTATACAGCTTTTCGTTGTGACCGAGTGAAGCTCTGGGGGCAAAGGATTGCAACATTGAGGCTTATTTCGTTGGCGTTTATACTGAATCCGTTACTGTGACATCTAGATTGCAGTTTATGAGGGCTACGTTTTAAATACCGGAACGAATTATGTGCATATTAGTGAACTGTGGACCCCGATCATGAGTGCTGTAGACCGTGGCTTGTGAAACGTTTTGAGGTCTGGGTCAAAGCAGGTGTTTAAAACCGTCGCTGAAGTGTGAATCAAGTGAAACTGATGGACTGAATGTGTGCGAAAGTGGAACAAAATTGTCATTTTTTATTAGATTACGAAATGTTGACGAGACTGCGAAAGCAAGGGAAATTAATACCGGAATTTGATCGCTTTGCTTCTTTTGTTATTTGGTTATTTTCGTCGTTTCTTCACGCGTAGATCGCGTTGTTGCGCTGTTGTGTATTGTGTAACGGATTTCCGATGCGTATTCGTGCGCATTAGATTGGGGTAAAGGTCATCGCTTTAGACATCACCTGCATCAGTACGACTGACATCATCACCATCATTATCTGCTCTGTTGCTCTTCCATGCTTGTCTTCTCTGTCTCTTATCAGAATTTCTCTCCCGAAGCAAAGGTATTGATCCACCTCGTCCCTTCTGAAGCCCGTCTACACGTATGGCTACCGGCACATACACTGAATGCACATGCATCGAGTTTCAAAACAGTTATGCTTGTCGCAAGATATCTCCGAGCTTACAAATACACGATGTCGATGGCCAGTCAGCCGCGGTACAGAGACGGCGGGGAAGCGGTAGGCGTCTTGCCCTTTCCATCTTCCCTACCCCGCTTGCTGTGATGCAGCCCAAGCTCGCAGATATTTTGCGTTCACTGTAATGTTATTTGAAAGGAAATGAAAATGTGTTTTTTCAACGAAGATTCCAGCAACCTAAACAACCAGCCTTTGTTAATACACACAGTTTCGTGAATATAAGCGTTTTATTGGAAGAGATAATACTAAATTTTCTTTTAATGGATCTGGTCCAGGTAGTGTTGAAATGTGCGATAATAGACTCAACCTTTAGTTTTACATAAGATGCCGAACTGTAAGTTAGTTTGGGTCAGTTCTCATGTTTTATTTTCTTGCGAGAATGTGTTTTCCGTGGAACTGCAGTCGCTGTTAAGCCCTTTGTGTCTCCCCCACATTATACATGATTGAATATGGATAACCTGTTTAATGACATTGACAGGGGAAAACCGAACGATCCTGAGATAAACCTGTCTCAATGTCACTTTGTCCACCGCAAATCCCGTATGGACTGCCCTGGGGGCGAGCTCGGACGGAAGAAGTCAGTCGTGGCCTGTTTTTAAATTGTGCCTCGGTAAACTCCTGGAGAGATCGGAGAAATCCAGTAGACAAAGGAGTCCATTCAGGATGCCTTGTAGCTCAGTCGAGATACGAACCGGATAATTGCCGAATAAAAGTTTATATTTACCTCTGCTTTAAACGGTGTGGTGATTGGATAAGGAGAAAGTGAAATCAGTGAAGAGGATATTTTATCCTCATTACCTTTTAATTTTAATTTTGTAGAGGAATCTCGTAGGTTGGGGATGTGGTGGAAATAAAGTTACTAAACTCCATGGAACAGAGTCCTGAAGAAGTTAATAGTTGCTCACTTTGTCAAATTCTCCGTCTTATATGCAGTTCGAGGGCTCATTGCCATGTTCACAAGGACCCACCACTGGACGCTATCCTGAGCCAGTTGAATCCATTCTACAGTCTCAGACCATATTTCTTTAATATCCATTCAGGCCTAGTTTTGCAAGTGGTAGCCTGTTTTATTCAGGATTTCAGATAAAAATTTGGCATGTATTTCTCTTGTCTTTTGCAGTAAGATTGAAACATTGTAAATTAAAAGTTAATCTATGAAGTTATTCATATGTTTTGTAGGAAAGAACAGTTAAAGTTAAAATAATAACGCAACTTAACAAAACAATGGTTGACACGTGTGTTTCATCTCGGAGTGTTTGTAATGCAGACACGTAGATTTAGTTAATAAAAGTGAGTTATTATTTCGCCAGGTGTATTAACATCCTGTGACCTTGCGACACGAAAACGTGTTGCTACAGAAAATATAACTCGTCCCGCTTAAAGTATTGATAACGACGACAGACAATCATTTCTGGAGACCTCCAAACCTTATCGCAGTACGCTACTGTAACCTTTCCTTGCTTATGGTACTCGGCCACCTTCATTTTTCACTTGTGTTCTTCATGGCCGTGCTGACCATGAAGTCTCTAGATATCGTGTTCAGTTGCTTCCGTATGGTACTTACATGGAGAACACTTTTAAGAGTAATATAGTTTAATATATGTGAAACGGAATATGGAGTCAGGTTTTCAAGTGCTTGCTTTGCGGTTTACACAACTCGCGCGCTGGTCGGCTGTTTGTTAGGAAGCTAATCGTCAGATAGCCGCGCTATGCCGAGTCATAAATTGTTTCCTTTTATTTTGACGAACACATAACAGGACACTGTTTATAACGTGTGTTATGCATTATAATTGGGGAAACTTCCATGAAGACCTTCTCCCGGTTTTGACTGATTGATACATGTAGTGTAATACCTTCTGATATCGATTTTGCATTTCGTTTAATTCTGTGTCTGAATGAAGTTTCAAAATATTTCAGGAGACTGATATTTTGTTCTACGTATAGTGAGTGACCTCCTACAGACTTACAACGTGATGTAGCTGATGGCATTGAGAAATTCCTAAAGGTTTTCCAGTGAAGGTGAAATTTAACATTGTGCTATTTTAAGAAGACCGTGGGGTACTATGAAGGAAATTCAAAGTCTAGATTTTTGAGGACGACCCAAATATATATGGCGTAATAAATTTTCATTAAACATAGATCCCTTTCAATGAATATTACGCAACTATTGAATCGTCGAGACATCTTAGGTCTTATTTTGTACAGTTCAGCATAATTATTGTTTCTGCCATATCTCGTTTTCTTCTCAGTGCATGTTTAATTTCTGTAGCCCAGCATTTTAATAAACGTTTTGAATTACTGAACAGGCAATTAAAACTTTATATAGCTCTCCAAGTAATTAAATATAGCTTCATTTCCCTTTTCTGACCGTGTCATGACTACAATGTGTAGAGTAGCAATATTTATTCATCTCAGACTTACAGTAAGGAGCTCCGTTTCAAGCTATATTAATTTCCTACGTATCCTACATGAGGCTTGTATATTGTATACTTCCTGATAGCTTTTCACCCTCATTAGCAATTCTACGCCATCTTAACACTGATTACATATTTACGAATTTCCTTTATACTTTCACAACTAGGCGTTTTAATAAAGCGAAACTTAAGTACGTACGTACAGAACATGGATACGAAGCAGTGTCAGAGGCCTTTAATTATGCAAGGCGATAAAAATACAGACTTTAATATATTATTGATTTTCCAGATATGAATATGATTATTGTAGACAATAAACCGCCCAATTGCAACTCAGTGTATTTTATTTGTGTTAATCCAAGAAGTTTCAACCCATTAATTGGTAATCGTCCGTGGTATACATTGTCAATACTTAGGCGAAGTACTCGAGGCATACCAAAATCTTGTACCATTCGAGCCAGACGATTCTATGATTTATTTCCAATTTCCTGTCTACTTTCTTTTCATTTGCTGTGACTGTCCGGTTACAGTTCGAGACCCTGCTGTTTCACGTAGCGTTCGCCGTGTTATTGTTTCGCAGTCACGCTTCTGTGTAAGGACATCTTTGTACCGCCCAACATTTGCGGACGTGAGGGCTACGTAGCAACGAGATATAGTACTGAGCCTTGCTACGTGCAGTAAACAATATCGTACTTGTCGCTGTCTGCCTGTGAAGTTATCGGCGTTATAGCGAGACGATCTCGTGAGAGATATAAAGTAGATAGTACGAAGTTGGAAGTTTATATCATTTTCACATTATACAGTCTGTTAGTGTCGGAACGTGAAATGCTGTCAGACGTGGGGATAATGTGAAACAGTGGTTAGATTCAGTGGCTACTACAAAATACTATGTTCGATTTATATTAAGTGTTTCTCGTGTTGCGTGGGATGTGATTATGTCGGTGTTCGTCACGGTAAGGTCTTGTGCAGATTATTTGCGGGCGTTATAGAATATTAACAACACAAAGATGAGATACGTGTTTATAACCCGTGTGGAAATTTATGCTTGAAGGTGCTGTATTTTAACAAGTGGTTCAGCCGTGCATTTCTGCCGTCATAATGGTGATGTAAATTCTACTAATGTTCCCTTTAGGTGTACTGACTCCAGTTAGTTTCTTCAACAGACTAATTCTCATAGTTACGGATCTGAGTAAAATGGGGATCGTCTTCAAATTTGGTCTGCCCGGACATATCTGAGTAAAAACCAATGCGTTTGTGGTCTATTTAAGTACTCGTCACCGTGATGATGGAGGCAGTAAAGACCTCTGAAATGTCGGTTAATTTCTACGAGTCGGCACCGCGTAAAATTCCAGGAGCGGGATCTTCTTTGTTAAGTAGTTTTCGAAATTGGGGAGCTTTGGCATTTACACTTCGTGTGATTCTGTAACCATACATTTCCTGTTTGCAATTGAGAACACGAACAAGCATGTGACCTTATACTAGAATGTGAGCAAAACAATAAGTTCTATATAAGATTTGAGGTTTTCGCAGCGGTGAGTATGAAGATTTCTGTCTTCTCGGTTGTTGCGCTGTGTAGTCTGGTCGATGTCCACCAACGTTTCAGAGGTCATACTGCCTCCGTCATCAGGGCGATGAGTATGAAGATTTCTGTCTTCTGGGTTGTTGCGCTGTGTAGAAAAAAAATGTTTACCAACGTTTCAGAGGTCATACTGCTTCCGTCATCAGGGCGATTCTTAGTATGAAGATTTCTGTCTTCTGGGTTGTTACGCTGTGTAGTCTGGTCGATGTTAACCAACGTTTCAGAGGTCATACTGCTTCCGTCATCAGGGCGATTCTTAGTATGAAGATTTCTGTCTTCTGGGTTGTTACGCTGTGTAGTCTGGTCGATGTTAACCAACGTTTCAGAGGTCATACTGCTTCCGTCATCAGGGCGATTCTTAGTATGAAGATTTCTGTCTTCTGGGTTGTTACGCTGTGTAGTCTGGTCGATGTTAACCAACGTTTCAGAGGTCATACTGCCTCCGTCAGGCGTGATGGAAGCATGTGTGGACGAATAAGCATGTCGTCAATAATTCCTTCCCATATGTTAATTAGAAACCGTCGCTTTAAGCTGTATACACTTTGACATAAAGTCATTCATTGAAACTTATTTTTGGCTGTTATTTTGAGAATGAAACATTTAAGACCCCATGTTCATAGGAACATTTTTTTCTTACTTTTGATCGTGGAACAAGCCCACAAATTTGTAAACATACTTTTGACTCATCCTGTATAGGTACCACAGGCAGGGGACAATGGCCAGCTTAATATTTGTACACAGTCGGTAATCGGTTTCAGGTATCTTTAGAGAATTGTATTACGCACGTTATATTTTAAGGCAAAGAACTAGCTGTTGTTAAAAGATTGCATTTTCTGACGGTGCTCTACAATCACGCGTCGAATTTGTTTAAATGCCCCCAGTTAGTACGCCGAGTGCATTTATTCTGAAGGCCTGTTTTTTTATTAGGTGTAGCACTTCAGAGATTAGACTGTAGACCTCGGAGATTGATGAAGATAATTGTGTGGTTACGTCACAATGATGGAACTGCGTTATAAGCCGTCCGCAATTTGTGACATCAGTGTGAAATATGGCGTTTTGTACTTGTGTTTTAATCTGCTTGTGAGTGGTTTTATGTATTTGTAAGAGAACTGATCTTGTGGAAGACAGCTGGAAGACGGGCAGACCAATGCTACAACAGCCACCATGGAATAAATACCCGTGCTTCTACTTATTATGTGGTCACAGAAAAAAGTTTATCATGTAACTCCAAGCAGAACCAAGGTAACTGTTGTTCATAACAAAACGTGTCTTTTAAGAAGTTCCTTGAATAACTGTTCTTACTTGTATTAAATTGAACCTTGTTTCAAATATTAAGAAATATTCGGTGTTGTGTCCAAACATGTGTGTTGTTGATATTGGTCTCTTGGGTTGTTACACCGTGTGGAGTGTCCTGAAGATGGAATAAGTACGTTTCTCCGAAACGTTGATATATACCCACAGGCCCATACGGCGCTACAACACAGAAGACCAACATCGACATTGACATTTTCACTTCCATGAGAGCCTAAAACATTATATTTTGTGCTGTTCTTGCGCAGATTTTATCACAACCAGCGATCGAATTGTTTTGGCATGTCTTTTAATTTTCTACAATTTTTCGTTTATAGCAACTGCAGTTCGAAACTCGTTCAGTCCATTAAAAAAGGTTTGAAAGGATAACGTTTTTAAGCAAAATTTGCTGAATGGAAAATAACTGCACGTAGCTGGGAAGTGTGAACAGATTGCGCGAGTGAATTTTGGAAGCAAAGTAAAATAAAAGTAAATTAGAAGCTGTTTCACTATACGCCATGTAGGCGTTTGAGGGAGGGAAGGAACGGTTCCTTCTCATTCTTGACCTCGACACTAGATGGGGGTGAGTGGTCAGCATCACGCCCCGGCCTGCTTTAACCCCGGGAAAGGACCCCGGTACCCGTTGTAGAGGAGGCTGGGTGGGCCCCAGAACAGGTCTGGACGCAGAGTCTAGAGGAAAAATCCGAACCCCGGTAGTCCAGTCCGTAGCCAGTCACTATACCGAGTGAGCTTTCGGAAACACAGTGATTAATTAGTTGTGTGCATAGTGTGAATGCCACTTGTATTATTTTTGCGAGGAATATTTTACGAAACGTAGGTAAACTTAAAAACGATAAATGCCAAATAGTGAAGAATTATGATTAATATTATTCCTGTGTTAAATTCAAATTATATGACATCCAGCTAGCGAAATTACAAGATTTGCAATAACCTGTGGCTGATTGAAGGTGTGGAGAATGGCAAAGTTATTGAAATTGCAAGGCTTTCTTAACATGTGCAGTATAACATGAAATTACATTTTAAGTTTTATTATGGTTTATTTTAGTGTGACAGGACCGAATTATCTGTGCGATTCAGTTGTTCCCACGAATTATACAAAACCATTGAAAACACTCAGTGGTGTGAATGAAGAATTATTGGGTGTAAAAATAGGCGGTAAATATAGGATGTTTCCATTGTCCTGTAAAAAGTTAAAACAGTTACTAGATGGAGCTGAGTGGCTAATTCCCGCTCCGGTTGAGAAAGAGACCCGGTTGGGACGTGTAAATAGTTAAATATAGCCTAGTATTGTCTATATCGGTCTTACGGGTTGTTACAACACAAGAAAATCCACGTCTTCACTGCCGTAACACCTTCAGATCTCATTTAGCTTACTGTTTTTGTGTTCGTTTGTGAAAATTTTTGTGGAGGCAGGAATTATCACCGAAGCGTAATTATTAACTGCAATGTGTGAATATTTGTTTTTAGGCTATTATATATAAACCATCTGAGAATTAATTCCGAAACTATGAATCCTTACGGATATTTCGTAGGGTTTCATGGACTGCTGATTCGTCCAGTACAACGCCTAAACCTGCACACGACAATTCAATATAGAAACATGGGGACATGGTCCGTTCTCGATAAGGACTCGAACTCGTAATCTTAGTATTTGAATTGACCAATAGGCTATCGTAGGCGCGATCTGTACTTTTCTGCACATCAGAGTGGTCCAAAGTTTTTCTTTCCTTGGTCTAAGAATAGTTTTCCTGTTGAACCCAAGGGCCAAGAAATATAAAGTTTCTTTATCTTTAATAATATTTATTCATAAATGTCAAATTGCCATACTATACGGTAAAAGTAAAGTAAAGTAAAGTTTGTCCCGCTATACGCCATGTAGGCGTTTGGGGTTAGTGGAGGTATAGCTCCTCTCTTCCTTGACCTCGGCACTAGATGGGGGGTGAGTGGTCAGCATCACGCCCCGGCCGGCTTTACCCCCGGGAAAGGACCCGGTACCCATTGTAGAGGAGGGTGGGTGGGCCCCAGAGCCGGTCTGGACGCAGAGGCTAGAGGAAAAATCCTCTGCCCCCGTCGGGGGTCGAATCCCGGTCGTCCATCCCGTAGCTAGTCACTAAACTGACTGAGCTATCCCGGCTCATACTATACGGTAAAATATAAATTTCATTGGAATGTGCACAGATTACTTTCGAATTACATATTACTTTAAAATTTCTTCTACAACGGATTGTATCTGACAGTTTTTTTAGCCTGGAAAACATTTTACGGTAGGGTTTTAAAGTCAATAGCATTTATAACACTTGTACGTAACCCAGCAGTCGAGATAATCGCGATTATTTTCAGATCCTTTGGAACAAAGATAATAAATGAGCTTACATTAAAAGGTTACAAATTAAAAGTTGAGTTACTGGACCTAGTTGGACGTGTTCTTGGGCTGAATGTGGCCCTCGGTCCGCCAGTTTGATCATGCTGCCATACTAAATGGCATTTATGAAGTATATATATCTTTCCATTTAGACGGACTTTAACGGTGGTTAGGCTATGAGAAACGGAAATGATTATTCAACAGAACCATTGTTTGTTGCCCATGAATTAAGCCCGGTCGCCTTGGTCTGTCCGTTACGACAGGGAACAGTAACATTCGTGATATCGATTCTTTTATCTGTGTAGTTGTCTGTATGTTCTTATAGCGTTAGTAGGTCACTATTACCATAGAGTTGTGAGCAGTCTGGAGGAAACTTTGTAAACTTAAGCGGGATTCCTGAGAATGTTATCGATACACAATCGCAAATTATCCGACAAGAAGCAAGTTCCGAGAGCGAAGGCAGAGAGTGAGTTGAAAGAAGAGAAAAAGTTGAATTTGCGGGACTTGAAATGTGGACTCAGACAAACACAATTTTTGGCAGGTACAGAAGGAGTTTGTTTTGGTACTTAAAGTAACACGATAATCTTACTTGTCGAATGTTCTGAAAACTTTTGCTTGAAACTTATTAGGTATTTCCAGTATCAAATGTTATCGATAACTGAACACCGAAAGCCCGGGCTATAAAAATAAAATAGACAGCTTGTAATGACCTTGCACGACGCACTTCTCTACTGTTAGAGCGGTAATGAACGTTTTTCTGTCTGTTTACACCTAATATAATAGCCAGTGTCCGCCACGCTCGACTGTACGAGTGCTCCGTTCGTGCTATGCGGAAGAAATTGAAATTATTTTTGGATGTGGCGACTCTGGTAGCAAGAAATGCTAACGAGACTGTGGTGGGGCCTGGCAAGGTCTGAGTTTGGCAGGAATCTGGCTTCAGTCGCCATGAAGATGATTTCACATTTAGTTATCTCTTATAAATGTTATACTTTCAACGCTATCTGCAAAGATAATGGTGCAAAACATTCTATTACTGTTCTACTCAAAAAGTTAATTTTTCGTCAGTTTTGACAGGCCATACGCTAGTACAAATACAAAATTTAAATTATGTTGCTGTTAACTTGCTTTGAAACAATAACCTTGCCTTTGATGTTATATCATGCCATCAGCACGAATTGTGAAATGTAGAACAGTTACAATTGTGTGTGTAAATCTGACACTAGGGACATTTGATTGCTTGTTGTTAATGCTGAAAGTAAGCGAAATTTAAGTTTATGGTTTATACAATGTTAACAGCCCTTTAATTCAATTGTTAGCTTTTATTGCCTCTAAAACGCTACGGGAACAGAGACAAATGTTCTTAATCAGTTGATTTCCCAACGCTGAATTGAATTGCTAGTCTGACAGACATTGCACTCAAATTGACGATTTATCACTACCATTTAAAATAATTCTGCCACCATCACAACGAGAGCAAATGTGCGACTAGACTGTCTCCCCTGAGTCTGGGAGTTATTTCGTTGGTTTAGAATTATTTATGAAGGGAATATGCTGTCAGAAATGAAAATATTACGTCTAGACCAATGAAAATATCTGTAACCAAACAAAGAGAGTGTAGAATTTCACAGCGTTGAGTCTGAAGATTACTGTCTTCTGGGTTACTGCGCCGTGTAGTCTGGTAGATGGTGTAATGAACTCAAACTTCCTCCATGGAGCGAAGTCATTATTGATTAGCTGATAGTCGCTCAGTTAGTCAAGACATTTCTCATGTTGGGTGACATCCGTAGTTTCATTACCATGTGAGATTTCAGGTTATGGCGGAGGCGATTCTGAAGATGATTGTCTTCTGGG